CGTTGGTGAACTTGTCAATCGCAGATTCAGTGATCCACATTGGGGACCTTGCCTTTCGGGGTTGCAGCTCTTTGGCAAGCGTAACCATCCCGGACTCCGTGGCACACATTGGGAACTTCGCCTTTGAAGAATGCAGCTCTTTGGCAAATTTGACCATCCCGGACTCAGTCGCCTACATTGGGCATGGTGCCTTTGAGAATTGCAATTCTTTGGCAAACTTGACGGACCATCCCGGACTCGGTGATGCACATTGACAGTCAGGATTACATGCCTAAACGCAGGTTGCAGCTTTGCAGCGCAGAGGCTGAGACCAACGTGTCCGGGGCTGTAGCCAAATCTACGTAACTTGTAGCGCAAAAGATGGGCTGTGGGTTTCAGTACCCAGACTCCATGTATGGCATCCTACAGGATGGCTTCAGGGGTCAATGTATACATGGTGTGTTCATGTCGTCTTCCTGGTTAGTGGAATCTACGTGCAATTGTACCATGGGCATCCAGGTAGTTCCCACGATATCGCTGGTGACCAGACTAAAGCGAAGCCATAGACGATGTCACTGGGCCTCTGGTTCCTGATAGCACGTGGTTTGCGGTTTGCCTAGGATCCACTGGGGGTGCATTGTCCTGATCTAATTCTTTTACTTTGGGATTCCCCCACGGATTCCCCCACGTCTCAGCGCAGAGACCGGAAGCAGATCGTTTCACACACAGACATGTGAGTTCTGATCAACCTTTAGTTGGCAATCGATCAGATCTGGCCAGGGCCATCCAGGGCCTTCCAAGTCCGGTTTTTTTTCATGGACACCCCGAATCACGACTAAGAGGATATCAATAGAGACCCCCACGGTGTCGGGTCCTGGTATGGTTCAAGTGACCTAGGCTTCCAACAACCATTAATTTAATAGGCCAACTACCGAATCAACTAAGGATTTTACACTACAAAAACCAGGTCGTTCCCATTTTCTAAATGGTCTTGGAAGCCTAGGGTCAAAGCACCAACCCTCTCCATCGCCAAGTCTCCGAAGTCTGCCGGCCAAGTCGCCGTCTCACGGGCTCCGGGATGCCGTCGGTCGTTACACCGCAGATCACTAAGAGGCCTTCGGTCAGGCAGCGTCCCTGTTTGTCGTGATCATACCAACAGAGGTGGGTCAGGACCCGGTCACGTTCGCCTATCCCAGTTCGGTACCCCAGTAAGGTCCTAGTGACCTGGTCACGTTCCACCTCTCTTGGTATGACATATATACCTATATACCCTGGGAGTCAAAGACTATAAAAAGAATGGTCTTTAGGGGACCTGAAAGGGAACTTCCTTTACTTCAGCCGGTCAAAATATAGTCTTTGGACTTCTAGGGTATAGCCTTAGGGGTCGCAGGACCCGAATCGGATGGTCCCAGATGGTGCAGAGACCAGTCTCTGGAGGTTGGACCCCATGGGTGTGTTCCAGCACCCGACTACACCAGGTCTCCGAAAGTGGCAGAAAGGTGGAGGTGGTGACCTGGCAGTGGTGACCTGTTTTTGGAAAAGAATTCTCTTGGAATGCGGTGGTGATCTGTTTGGCTGGGTGTTCTGAATCAGTGGGAGAAGGCTTTCTTTGTTCTGATCAGATCTGCCAAAAGTTGTCACATCCAGTAGCATCTAGTCACTCCGAAAATTATCTGACTGTGATTGGTTTAATGTCAAACGTCCGGTCCAAGAACAGGCGAACCCCTTAAGTTTTGCGAAGAAGCCAACCAGTTGCCCAAGTGCACACATGCTAAGCTAAGGCTGCGAGCAAGCGGAAGACAGACATCAAATTAGAGTAACACCCTGTTCAAATCAAAATCATAATCCATCCATCAAGATAGTTGAGCCATGGCGACTAAGATTTCGGCGCTGCAGCCGAGTGGTGAAGTCATGGTTCTTGAAGTCACGCCAGAGATGACAGGCCGCGCGCTGAAGCAGCAGATCAAAGAGGGACAGCCTTGGGACGAGATCACTCGCAGCACTACGGGTGTGGAGATCATTGTTGGAGACAACCAATTGCTGGCCGACGATGCAAAGGTATTGGGCGCTGGAATTGTTGAAGATACTGGTGTGAGCGTTGTCTTCAAACCAAACAAAGTGATATGCTCCAACAAAGATGCAATCGCCGGTCTTGGTGGCATCGTTCACTTGGAATTGTTGCTTGTGGTCGAAATTCAATATGGTGAAACAGAAATTTGTGAAGGAGCTTTTAAGTTTTGCACCACATTGGCCAAAGTGACCATCCCGGACTCAGTGACCCACATTGGGAATGATGCCTTTCGTCGTTGCAGCTCCTTGGCGAACTTGACAATCCCGGATTCAGTGACCCACATTGGGAACTGTGCCTTTCAGGGTTGCAGCTCTTTGG